ATATATATATATATATATTTAGAGAGTGTATGCTACTCCTGTAGCATTAGAACAACAAAATATTTCTGTGCTTGCAGAAGGCAACGTGAAGTGGAACAAAAAATGGTAGAAGAAGAAGCTGCAAAACGAATAGAAGAACTAGTGCAAAAGAGGGTGGAGGAAGAACTAGAAAAACGTAAAGAGGAAATAGAAGCTGAAGTACAAAGGAGAGTAGAAGAAGCTAAAAGGGCTATGGAGCGTCAAATGATGGAGGAAATGGAATGGAGACAAGCAAAGCTTCGTGAGGAGGAGAAACGAAGAGAGGTAAGACCAATCCAGAGAAACATTGGCCAGTGTTAGCCCAAGCGCTGTTTCGATCAACAGGAAATAAGTCTGGTGCTCTATCCTTGCATTATTTTTATACTTAGATAAACGATATATTTTGGTAAAAACAGAGCTACAATATAATTGAAATATATAATAGAAGAAATATATTTTATAATTTAACAGTTTGACTGGTAAGATGCAATTTAATTTAAACGTTCTTTAAACTACAAAAAACTATGAAAAGAGCTTAGGTACTACATGTACTACATGTTTGCGTGTACTGTCTTAAAAAAGAAAATTTAAAAATTCTAATTGGACATTCCAAAAATGGTAGAAATGTTACATGGTTGAAAACATATCTATAGTTAAACTAACATGTGTGACTGTAGCGCTATATTAAGCCTCTATTTCGCGATCACAGCGTTTGGGCTTGAAGCATTGTGGTTAACAACTATGAGAGAAATTATTATTAAAATGCCACATTGCTTCGACTTCCCAGCATCCACTGAGGTCGCGTTGTTGGGAATGTATACTTTCCCTTGTGGAAAGAATTTTGCTATTATAGGCGCATGTATCGAATATTTATGAACAAAATATTGTATTTGTACCATGTATATATTTATATATTTGTACAACATTAATACCTTTCATCACACAATATTTCGATTGTCAGTCGTATCTTCTATTGAGAAAGTTGCATTCGAGTGGAGTTTTTGCAACTTTTTACAATCGTCATACCTGACAATCTGGCAGACCTAATTACTTATTGATCTAGTTTATATCCGCGTGTGAATGTCCACATAATCGCATCATTTAATCTCTTAAAGAGTAGAGAAAGATAGCATCCAATTACTTAAAGTTAGCGATCCCAAACTTTGTAACTTGCTAAGCAGAAAAAAAAAAAACAATCGTAAGTTTGAAATAAAGTTATTTTTCTACGAAACTATATAGGAAAATGATATTTTTCCCTGAACAGTTTTTGCTGTCAGTGATACGATAGATTTACAGATTTTTTTTTTTTTTTACGAAAGATCTCGTTGAATTTTAACTTTAAGAATATGATCGCACCATTGTTTTTAACTTTATTTAGGCGGTACGATAACAATGATATTCCTATGTTGGAAATGAAGATTGCAAAGATTAGATTTTATCCTTTTCAACGGATATCGTTTTTTTCATATACGAAAGTATTCAGTTTTTTTCTTATGTTCAGCATATAAAATGAATTGTATTGATATTTCTATGAGAATTGAAAATAGTATACATAGTTCATCAGACTTGGAAGGTTTGCATATTATAATGAAAATAAACAATAGAATTGCTAATAGTTTTAACGATAATGAACAGAAACGTTTATTTTATCCCGTAACTTTGCATTCTAAGCTCTAATAACAGCTTTAATTAATTTAGTATAATCAATACATTCTATGAGTTACAAGAAGGGGTCCTGTTATTTGATCTAATTGGCAAATGATTCGAAGTATCTTTTGAAAATAATATATTTACAATATTTTCTTGAATAGTTCATTTCCCTTCGAAAATACGAGTAGGAGGTTCTCTTCTACTATGTTTTTTATGTATATGCACAATTGGTTATTTTCACCCTCGGGAAATCAGCACGTTCCGGTCAAATGGACAGCGACCCTGATAACAAGTTGACCATACTTTTATCCTTATTGCTTTGCACATTGAGTTTGCACCGAATATGTGAACAAGTTTGGGAGAGAATTAATTAGAAAGGGTGAGGTAGACCTTAAAGGGCAGAATTAGAAATCCCATAGCAACAAAGCACGACCTAGCAATATATAGGTCACCTTCCTTACTGACTACCAACAGAAGATGCCGGTTTTTTACTCACTGCTGAGTGATTGTCGATGAAGAAGGCATCCCCTACGTGCTGGCGTGAGCTTCATTCAGGTATTATCCAATTTATATATTCATAATTCATTTTATACCGATATTATTATTATCATTCTTTGTTTAAACACTATGTATCGGAAAGACAATACTAGGGATTATTTTAGATTTGCTAAATATTAGTACCTGGGACACAACGCATATCGTCGACAGATCGGGGCGGATGGCACCACTCGTTCGTAAATATTTTTTTAATACGTTTTCCATCATTTTTTTTTTCCCCTTTTTTTCTTTGAACGCACCATCAGCCATTGTCGAAGATACACGAGTAATCATTATTTTCTGTAAGAAAAAGAAAATCGTATCTTTTTTTTTTTAAGTTCTTTCTTTATTTTTTTACTTTTTTTCTTTTCTTAATGAGACATTCTTACACTGCATTTAGAGTTTATCCTGCACTTAACAGAGTTACTCGACGTGTCGCGTTTAAGCAAGGAGAGTTACAATTGTTCTGTATTCATCGTTTTGCATGCACAGTGAATTGATTCAGAATCATAATTCACGTTTTTTCACTTTCAAGTGGCATCCTAAGTCGTCGTGTTTCCATCTGGGGAATCGGTCACTAAACAGCATTCGCTGGGAACTCAAAAGGAGCTCATTTAATCCAAACGAAAAAGGAACATGGGTTTTATATATACATCCTTCGATTACTTTTGTCTCAACAAAGTCATCCTAGTTTTTTAAAACCTCGACCTCGAAATTTCACATATATATTCCCGACTATTTTTCCCACATATATATACAAAAAAAAAAAGAAAAAAAAAGAAAAAGAAAAAGAATGGTTCTTAGGATGTGTAACACTAGGCTGTTGAACATAGCGGCACTATGATTTTTGGATATGAACAGTGTAACAACAGCTGGTGAGCAACACCATCATTGCTTCATGTAAATAGATCCCATTGTCGTTGTAGGAGGAAGAGCGGAAGAAGCGCGAGGAACTAGAGAGGATCATGGAGGAGAACAACAGAAAGATAGAGGAAGCTCAGAAGAAACTGGTAGGTTTCCAGCTAGGAGGACGTGGACGTGCGTAGACGTGCCTGTTGGCCATTTAAACAAACGTTTCTTTCCAATAGGCTGAAGAAAGATTGGCCATGGTCGAACAACAACGTTTAATGGAAGAGGAAAGGCAAAGAATGAGGAAAGAACATGAAAAGCGTGTTAAAGAGGAACAAAAGAAAATCCTCGGGAAGAACAACTCGAGGCCTAAATTGTCCTTTACGCTAAAGCCAGTTACGTGAGTCTGTCTCATTACGTGCAGTTTTACATGTGATATTTATACATCTTGTCGATATTGGAATTATTCATTTTCCGCAAGAACATTCGCCGTAAGCTGCGCGTACGTACGTACATGAATTGTGCAGCGACAAAGATCCAAAGCTCACCCCGAATGTATTTGCGATAATCACAATCGAAGTCTGGCGAATGTTGAATCGTTTTATTTAATTATGATGTTCACACACGTGCGTCAGAATTGAATAATTCGTTCTATGCTTGCTTGATTTCGAAACCCAATGCAGGCGGGATCCCACCTGTACGAGACTACACCGATGTCAACACAGGCGAAGCACTTCTGTCAATGACAGAAACGTAATATAGAGCCAGCATTTGTATTTATTCACGTTGTAAAGTTTTTGTTTTCTTTTCTTTTCTTTTCTTTTTTTTTTTTTTTTTTTCCTCTCTACAGTATGACCGATAAACGTTCTGCACAGGTCTTGCTTGACCTGTTTGACGAAAGTGTAGTCTAGCCTAGATAGGTGTGTTCTACAAATTGCAAATTTACGATAATGTCGTTTCTTCGTGACTATGCCCTACAGAGGATGATTTTATTTCAGTTAGATGTATTAACGAAATGAGAATCGTATTTAAAAGTATTCGCGTTTGTGAATAAAAACTGAGAATTTTCAGACGGTCACACTAACAAACACGACCAAAATAGATTTTGTAATTAAACACAAGTGCATAAATGAATTTTCTACGAGGATAGATTAAAAACTATTGTGTATCTGTAACACGTAATACACAAACCG